AGGTTACTCGAGAAATGATGCTTTGCCGTGAAACAAGATATTAAAAAATCGGATGACTGATTTAATTTAAAACGGGACGTAATAATGATTAAGTGTGAAGGTAATCTCAGAAATTGGAACTTCTCAAAGCTTCTCACTAATCTACCCTCCTCCCCCTAAAAAGCTGGGTAAAAGCGTCACCAAACCCCTGTACTATAAAAGCAAAAAGGATACAAAAGCTAGAACTGAATTTTCTGTAGCCTTAAAGATTCAGCTGTCCTTTCCGGCGGGAAGCCGGAAATTCGACACTCGATACTATTATTCGATACAATGTCGTAGGGGGGGGGGGGGGGGGGGGGGGGCTACTTGGTAACGTGTGATGAGGGTAGGGTATTATTTCAAACTAGATATCTGATATAAACCTTGAATCTACTAACAGATATCTCTTTTAAAAAGAAGGACGGCATTCAAATTTCAATTTAATACAAAGATTAAAGCTGTTCTTAATGCAATCAAGTTGGTTCCCTGTTTTAATATTATACCGATCAGCAAAAATGAGCAACCAATTCTCTTCGGCGACAGGAAGACTTCAGTTATCGACCTGTTTAATGGGGTATAAATGAAATTGTTTTTTAAATTTGGATAATCCCAAAAGAAATCTCCTTCTTTTTGATGGGTTTTTCATAGATTATGTCGCCTAAGGTAACAACTATATTTTGAAGTCAAGTGATTAGATTTTTTATCTAATTGATACAGAAGTAGAAATAAATCTATACATTAGTATCATAAGAAGCATGAAAAATCTCCCATGAAAATTATAGCGGAATTTTTTTCCGGTTGTGATATACTAAAATCTCCTTTACAAAAAGATACCCTCATCGGAACGGCGACAAGAAGTCGTAGCAAACTACCAGAAGTCGCGAATATAAAAAACGACAATTCATCGCAAGCATTCCATATCAAGTCTGACACGCGCTAAAGCATGGCTGTTTGGTTACTGTGAATAACTAAATCAGATTGTTTTTTGCAAAGTTGTGGGGGTTTAAAAATTAGCATTTATGCCATTGTGGGACAATTAACGAGCGATATATTTCGTACAAAATTTAATATAATTTTCGATATATTTAATCCGTGTTCAAAATTATTTCAAATTTGGAAGAGGCATGTTATTTCAAAAAATCATACAAAAAATTTTTGAAAATATGTTAAGTTTTTTTTTCAAATCATTCATCAATTTTTTGAAAGCGAACAGTACTCCATGGACCCTAAAAGGCAGTCGGTACATTCACGGCTGCAGTCTTGTTTCAAATTAGTTTTTGTTTCGATTTTCCAAGAAAGTGAAGAATATAAATGCTCAGGGTGGTTTTTTATTCAGACCAATTTCACAAAACTCTTTACTCCCTCGGGGCGTCGAGCCTTTGACCTGCATGCGCTCAGTTGGTTGCGCACACCAAAATAGTATGTGTCTGTCGAAATTGGTCGTTTATAATTTTTTCTTAACGAATTATCCCGCACTACAAAATCGTTCTAAATTGAATTGAGGCAATAAGCTAATTGGTCTTCTTAATTCAATACACAATTCAATTTTTAACTTTCAAAATTTGATATTATCAGCCTAAGCTTCATAGTTTTGCCAACATTTTTTTTTCAAAAAAACTATTTGAGCCCTACTAAAGAGCAGTCGGAACTTTCAGGGCTTTGCTCTGATACGAGCAGTCTAGTATGTTTGTTAAGCTTAATTGCTCTGCGACGAATTGTCGCCTCACGCCTTCTTCACCTATCTAAACTGATTAGTCTGAACAATTTGCCATAAAAATTGTTCGTCGAAATATGTTCGACCCCCTGACGAAAAATTTATGTACGTCACCAAAAATGGATATATCAAAATAGTACCAAAGGGAGGACCCTTTGGGTCGGCAGGGGGTCGAATTCCTGAGGAGGCGGGGGAGAGGGCGTCTGCCCCCCCCCCCCCGCTTTTCCCCTGATTCCCCTGGTGAACTACTCTATTTCTAAATGTCGGTATTCTGCAAAGTTGGGTCATCTCATTGCAGTTTCTTCCGATTGATGGCTTTATTGAAAAACCGAACTCTGGAGGTAAGAAATTAGGTTAAGGGGGGGGGGGGGGGGGGGGTCGCACATTAATTGCTTGATTTTCCCCTTTTCCATAATTTTACCGAAATTGAATTGAAGACACTTGAAGTATTAGTATTTAACTTAATCAATAAACAAAGTATCGTAATAAAACGTCTACTGTGGTTTCAGTTATATATAGAATTAGATCATATATGATCTAATTCTAAATCATATATGATCCCCCCTCCACCCTTACTAGACCAAGTTAAGATCATCCTCCACAAACAAATAGGAATGCTCAATTCTGATTGGGCTAAAAATCCAGCTTTGAACCAAGTTTACATCCCCCCCCCTAATTCAGAGAAGGGGATGTTAATTTGTTCCATAGAACTGAGTTTTCTTGAGCTAGAACAATATCATTGAAATTGATGGGTTCAGGGGGGCTCATGGCAGGACTAATTTTCCGGGACTTGTAGATCTATGATCTACAAGTGTGAATTGGACAATTTTTTCAATTAAGGGCATGTATGTTCTAGGACTAAGAAGCGCAAGCAAAAATAAGATTATATGTTGGCTGAAATAGTTCCTGTCCTATGATTAACTCTTTGTGTTTATGTTCCAAGTCGAGTTTTTCAATTATATGCTCTTTGCCTCACGAAGTTACAATTAGAACGTTTAAAATGAAAATCACTCCTGAAGACAATTGGCTTATTTTATTTTTCAATACCGCTGCAACCTTCAGATTTGCAAAACTCTAAAAAGATTCCCCTATTCTCCATAGCTTATGGTAGTACCTCTCCTCGTGTGACTTTTGCTCTTGATTTGTGCTCTGATGGAGATTGTTCTTGAGTAATGGAACCTGATCTAAACTACATTTTATTATTGGATAAATTAGATATTTTATCACTATAAAATATTTAATATTAACCAATCATATTCCATCTAACTAACAACCCACTTATTTGTAACTGCTGAAATTACTTGTAATTTCAGCACAAGAGAGATTTGAATTTAACTTAGAACTTAGTTGCCTCTCCAAGAGAACTTCAGCAGTTGCAATAAGGCAGTATACTCTAGATCTATTGAGCCTAGCAGAGACTAGTTAAACACCCTGAGACTAGTAGATATAAGAGTAAGATTAGGATCGGTATTAGACTAAGATGTTGCACGAATCTATCCGGCCGAAAATAAGATAGCGTGACGAGCAGACGGTGTACCCTATCCGAAATTACTCTATGAGTTACAAACCTCGAACTTAACTCAGTAAGAAAATTGCTCACGTTTCGAAACATAAAAAAGCGTTAAGTTAAAGCATTTTTTCAAAGATTTTGCTGGCAAAATCAATTTAAATAGATTTACCTCAGTTTTCTAGGTACTAATGTCTTTCTACCGTAAATAATCCATTTAAGTTCGATTTAATTTGTTTTAATTTTCTAAATGGGCTACTTCAAATTAAAACTTAATCAGTATAAAATATGTGTTAAATTAGCTCAAATCGATTTCAATCTCAAATTTGTCAGCGCAGTTTACCTTATGAGACAAACAATCAAGCAGTCACCGCTAAGAGATAATGCATTTTGCTGAGTATCTGCTGTAGACTAGCAGAAATTTTACAAAATTTCTGAAAAAAAATCAAAAGGATAGCCTGTTACTATGCAAGTAGCACAGAATGTTCTGACCAAAGTCTTTACAAAACTGCCAGAAAAAAATTTCTTTTCAAGTTAGATCAGATGTACAACTACAATTTAGGCATATTTGACAGACCTAGTAATATAGGCAAATTGGAAAAAAAAATTTGTCGAAAAATGACAAGAAAACAAATACACATTTTTTTTCTTTTTTTTTGCAAAAAGTTATCGAATTTTCTTGAAGTTTTTATTTTGCATAATGGAGCTAACTTGCTACAAGTAAAAATTTAGGACTTTAAGTAGGCATAGCTAAGCTGTATAACCATGCTCGCTCGCTATATTCGATCGAACTAAGACGAAAAATCAAAACATTCAAACTGGATTTTTTTCCCTGACAAAATTTTTTGAAGTTTTTAAATATCGATTGAATCACAACTGAAAGAGCTTTAACATGATATATCACTCAACGCATTCCAATGAATAATTGTGGTACCTGATTTTGCGTGGAAAACAAAAAAACTAAAACACACTCGAATACAAAGTTCTTCCCCGTTTTCAATGGTCAGAACGAAAAAAGTTTCGTTGTAGAAATTGAAATCTTGCTTATTTCTGAAATGGAATGCAAAAATGGTCTGGAAAACAAGCAAGAGAAATGATTTTTCAGCAGCGTGTGTATTGCAAGAACACTGGGGTATACACGCCTAGCCGAGTTTCAGATTTGATTTCTGGGCTTACCATGCACACTAGCATCTGAAGTGAAACGCTCTTTCCGTAAAAAACAGGAAAAACAATTTTCACCAATTTCAGTTTTCCGAATCAAAAACAAGAAAAACACAAAGATTATATATCGATTAGACATCTTAATTTGAAGCTTATAATCAATTGCAATTCTGATAATCCTGCAATTCTGATAATCCTGTTCGGATAGTGAACGGCAACAAAGATGACAGAACTTGAAAAAAAAGATAGAAAAACTAGTTAGTGAAAAAAAATACATTTCACCGATCGATGTTACTGTATTAAAAAAACCAAGGTACTTGGGGTCGGGGTAGTCAAGGGGATTCAGGGGTGAGATTTATTTCATCATGAAATACACTTTAGTACACTTCAGGTATAAAACTTAGAACACCCAATATTTTTTCAGTTCATAAACTTGTATTTTTGCTAATAATTGTCTGTCGCAAAACAATTTTATAATTTGCAAAATATTAGTTTTTCAGAGCAGATTATATCAACGCATAAATTTTTTGTTTGATGATTCATTATTTCTTAATAAAAGTTTGACTAAAGGGTTTTTTATCAATACTAATGTTGCTGCCATAGCTTCAGTTCGTTGTTTCAGTCAGATTTGTAAGTCCCATTGTTTAGTTTTTTTTTCTGCCAAGTGAGAAGATTCGGCCGTCAGAACAGTGAGATTTACATCAGTTGGCAGAGGCACAAAGCTAGAGCTACCACCACGAATCCATTCAGTCGAAGGCCCACTAAATTCATTAATAATATTAATCAACAAGCACCACCCGATATTTTGGTGAAAAACTTTCTGGTAAAAAAACTGATTAAAATCAATGGAACTCCTTGCAGCTACCATTTTTCTTATTTCAAAAATCATATTAATCTACCCACGAAGTAAATGGGAACGTTCTATTTGGATGCTTTACTGTTTTTTAAAGTTAATTCTATACTTTCTTCCATTCAATGTCGAAGAAAACCGATTTGAAACTTAATTTTCCTTGTTCACTTTCAGAGCGAGCGAGCGGAGCGAAAAATTTCAAAATGACGCTGTGGAAATCTAAGTTTTTAGCTGTAAGAAATTTTTTTGATTAAAAATTCATCTACTGCTTCCGCGGCAGGAAAAATTCCAAAATTAGAAACAAAATCTGACTGTTTTTTGAATTAGAAATTTTTTTTTCTGTTATTCATATTGCATGGAAAATTGCAGTCAATGGTCAAAACTTTCAGCTCTTTTTTCCTATCTGCACCGGATAAGGACCCAAATTGGAAAAAAATAGGTTTCTAATGATGCCTCGCAACTTTATTTAGTCTAGCAACCGTCAAATTGTGTTCTTCATTTACATTTTCTACTGAATTTGCATTGGCTCGGTGTTCAACTCTTGATGAAACGTTTGTTTTCGAAATTATATATGACATCAAATGTGGCATAAATATGAAATAAATAATCCATAAGTATATAATTAAATAATTAATATACTTATGAATATTGTGAAATGTGAAATGAATATTCATAAGTATATGCATAAGTATTCATAAGTATAAGTATAATCACACTCGACTGGCGTTGAGCCAGTCGAATGACACCTCAAGAGCAACGAAAAAAGAAATCATTTTTCCACGCTTCACCCAGCTATAAAAATAATTTGTTACGTGTTATCACAGCAAAATGTTATCTTTATCTTAACAAGTTACATATACTCATAAGTAAAAAAATAAACAAAGCCCTCAAACCCCCTTTCATTGAAAACTGATGTTTTCATAGAAAAAAAACAGTAAAAAATATGTCAGAAAGAATCACAAAAACTATTGTTTCTTTTTTTTTAAAAACCTCGAAACTAATTATATAGATTTTTCTAAATTTTAGTTCTTTGGTCTATAATCTACCAAATATGAAATGATCAAATTTATCAAAATAATTTGTACATTTTCCTGATTCTCTCGCTAAGTTTTCTCTAGAAATAGGCACTGAATTTTATCTATGTCTTAAGTCCCTTGTTCCTGTTTACCTTTAGAAAACTGGATTCAAGCTCAGTTATCTAGATTCATAAATTTATACGGTTAAACTGGTGACTTTTTTCCTAAATTTTTGCTCTCGTTTCCTTTTTTCATAGTGCTCAGTGTAGTCCTTATTAAAAAAATTTGTATTTGTTTTTCCCTAATTGTAGAGTGTCCAAGTTTTTCAAGTTATAAAAAAAATAAAATATCTGTTCTACGATATGTCAACGTTTTTCAATTAGTATTTTTCGCCAGACCATATGTCAATGCCATATAGCAGCATTCCATTTGGTAGCACTTGTTGAGTGTAGTTTTAAAGGAGACATTTGATCCAAAAATAATATATTTTGGTAAACTTTACCTGAGAGTATTGACAATCGGTTATTCAAGTAATCTATTTGTTTTTTGCTTTTTGGTGACTGGCCCGCGGTGTTTCATTTTTGCTAGCCCTAATGATTTTACTTTTTTTTAATTTTTTGTTGCTCTCCATCAATAACAAAAGCTTGTTAGCCAAACAAGGCCAAACAAAGTTCTGTCAGCTGCAAAAATGTTGTTGTGTAGCGTAGAATTAGGGGATTCCTTCGCAAGCTGTCCCTTTGGCAGTGAATTCAGCGGGGCGACCGATATTCACTATTTTCTACAATCCCGAAGGGTTGATTTGGTGGCAAAAATCCTGTATTGCTCTCTGTTGCTCGCCCCTTTTCTGTATTACACTTCCGGCTGTCTTGTCTACTCGATACAATCGCAAGAGTTTCTAATTGTAATTTAAGTCAGATGATTATACGTCTGATTACAGAGTGCTCTGAGTGGCCAGGTTATAATCTAATAATCAAATCAAAAGGAACGGGTCTGCCATTTATCAGCATAAAATGCCTTATTGCAGTTAACTTCCAGCTAACTCCACTAAAACTGAACTATTCTCTCTCTAGAGAATCTCTGACGAGAAGCAACTATCTACTATTTCTGCTACGGTTGTTCTCTTACTTCGACAACCAACTACTCGATTCTCTAGCAATCATTCTTCTCTTCTCTGACGAGAACCAACTACTCTTAATAGTAGCTAACAACTGTTCTCTTCTCTGACGAGAACCAACTACTCTTAATGGTAGCTAACAGTGTTCTCTTCTCTGACTGAAAACCAACTACTTCTAATAGTAGCTAACACTGTTTTCTTCTCTGACTGAGAACCAACTACTCTCAATAGTAGTTAACAACTGTTCTGACTCTTAAAGGCTCTCCGGTACCCTCCAATTCCTTATCTTTCTTTACACTTCGTTTTAGTTAAGTCACGCCATTCCCTATCGGTCCTGACATCCGCTTAAATCACCCGTCCACGCATTTTTAAGGCTATATCCCTCCGCCTGTCACTTCTGCCACGTGCGAACTTCGGTTTCTTTTATCAATCTTTTCACGCTTATTAGTTACCCGGTATGCGGTAGCTGTCACAATTTGACCAAACATACAAATGTCCTAAGAATCTAATCAACCAATTCCTGACCTCAGTGACTTCAGCCCTTGAGTTCAACTAACCTCTAAACCATGCTATATTTACACAGTGATCCTCCAAAGGTCTTTATTTTAAATATCCCATTAAAGTTCCGACCTCCTAAGGGTAGGGGGAGACCTTTTTCATTGGTAGCTAATTCATTCCAAGCATCTAGAACTTCTATCTGTACTCTATTCCAATCCCGGCTTTTTAGCTCTCAAAGGAACGTAGTTCGTCTGTTAGGGGTCAAATTAAACCAAAAAGTCACCTCCGGGAAGCCAAGTAAATTCCACGTCCATTCATACTATTTAGGAGACTTAATTCCCATGCTACGGTCCTATTGCTATCAGATTGCTGTGGGACTACTTTTCTTCAGTCTAGTTGAATTGCTATTAAAAGATCACTCGCCAAGCTAAAATGAACCCAATGTTTACCAAGTCCACTTTGAATTAACTCCACTACTCCAAGGTTGCAATGTAAAAGATATACCTCTATCAGCTTCTGCTCTCGTTCCCAATATATAATTTTTCCTCCCAGCTTTTAGCAAGGTGACCCATTCTCATTTCCAGGGGCTGGACTGGGGAATAAGCCACTTTCCGGTGTTAATCTTGAGGTTTTCTATGCAATTTTGGGGTCAAAACGCCCAAAGGTCAACTTAAGGTCACCCAGGGGTCAAACTTCCATATTTTTGTTCAGAATCCCACGGGGGTCCTAACTACCAAGTTCCATTCAAATCCCATTAAAATTTCACTAGTTATACCATTTATTTTTCTATGGTCCATTTAACTTTCTGGGAAAAGGCTATTAATACTGGAAGGAGTCACCGGAGGCTTTTCACTCAGAGGGGTCTTTTTTCGGGTTTCGTATCTTAGGTCCATTGCAGCATTAAAATCATTATGCCACCGTTCATCATTTCGCGTAAATTGCCTGTTTCCGGTCTAGGGGTGTGTTTTTCCAAGTGCTTATAGCTTCCGATCCAACCGCCGGATTTGGTTCAAATTATAATACAAGATGTGTTTTGCCACTACCTACCATCCCTCCAAGTTTCAGCTCCTTGTGATCATTTGAGGCCGAGAAACGACTTCCGGAAGTTAGGGATGGGTTTGTTTACTTAGGGCATGAAACCGGAAGTGGTGTTCCTAGGAGTCTGGGATTCTAAACTTAAGCTTCCCTTAACTAGGCCTACAACATACTAGAATTTGAGACTAAAACCGCCGCTAGTTTCCGAGTTCTGTTAGGGCCATTTACACTTCCGGGGACCGTTATCACTTTCCCCCCAAGGGTCTGAGGGGTCTGGATTTTTGCATGCCCGGGTTATTTCATCTCTAGTATCCGTCCTATGAGTTTCATAAAGCTAGCCCCGGTAGTTTCCATTTGGGGGAGGGGTTTGCAAAATCGGTACCGTTTTAAAATCCTGCTTCGTCTCTGTTTGTTTCGGGACCCAGAATCGAACCTTGAGGCACCCCACATTTTATCAAACGCTTCTTAGATACTCTTTTTCAACATCAACAAACTTGCATCTGTTTTCAATGTATGATTCTATGTTTGTAGTAGCGAACTTCATATCGATAATATCTTTCGTGTAATATCGTTGAACAAAAATATTTTAATTTACATATTTTTTTTGAATAAAGATTTGAAAACTCGCTCACCGACTGTGTTGTATGCAGCATCTGAAACGAAAAGAAGTTCTATTAAAAAGTAATACTATAAGTGGAATAAGCGTTAAAAATTATGTTTCAAAATATCACAGCTATGATTAACACTGGCAAGTTTATTTAACTATTTTTTTAAAGTTATTAAAAATGTTTTGCATTCAAGATTTCGTCTGGTAATTATAACAACCCTAAGCTTTTCCGCCGGAAAGATTCCGAATCTACACTTTTTCATTAATGGAAATAAAAATAACTTTTTGTGATTATTTTCGGACTAGATTATATAGCAAAACAAGTATATTGAAGCATCACAGGGGCAGATTTAGGAAGGGCGGCGGGGGGGGGGGGGGGGGGACGCGCCCTCCTCAGGGATTCGACACCCTGCCGACCCAAAGGGTCCCCCCTTTGGTACTTTTGAAGAAATCATTTTTTGGCCGAACGACCCTAAAACTTTTCTAAGGGCGCCTTTGGCGCCAATATATACTAACTTTGAGGGGGAGCTCGCGCCAAAAAACGCGATGTTTTTGTCAAAATTTTCCAAAAATTTGCCTGCTGCGTAGAAAATTTGGCCGAAACAGCGTCTTTTTAGTGTTAGGAGAGCTCGGAAAATCAATTTGGTCAACCTAAAAAAAAGGTGAAAATTTTCGAACTTTTTTTGAAAATCCGCCCCCCTCGAGAAAATCCTAGATCCGCCCCTGAAGCATCATACTATGTTTTCTAGTGTTTATAATAAAAGTAATGGTAGGATAAATTTCATATAACCCAGCATACCCAGCAATTTACTTACAAACTTTCACAATTTTGAAACAACGGCCTTATTTTTGGCTAGTTTTAGATACTCTGGGCACGTTTTCGGCTCGCTTATACTTCGGCTGGTTAGTCAAGCTCCGCGGTATACTTACATATAGTAACTGTGATGACGTCATCTTTGCATGCCTCGGAGGGTCCGTTGGCATTAATGACAACTGTGTAGTTGATACCCACAGTCAGATTGTTCGCGGTCTGAACGGCGGCGTTGTTCGCATCGTAGATGAAGGGTCCATCATGAGGAGGATCGAGAGAGATGGTGACATTGCCATAGGCTTCAGCCCCCACAGACACGTCGAACGAAGTGTCACTGACCCACGTGACCGAGGAGGCAGACTCCCTCAGCGTAGGAACTGTGAACGACAAACATGTGACCTTTGACCTAAAGGATTCGACAGTCAAAACATTAGTCGACGAAAATTGTATATTTTGTGAATTGTAAGCTGATTCCGCAACAAGGACGCTCTCTTTGTTCTTGCTTTGTTGTTTTCATTTTTTTAAATCGTTCCGACAAAATTCTTACATGTTAAGAGACTCACGCACTCAGTGAAAATAAGAGAAAATAATCGATTAAATTATAATTATAATCGTACTTTTAGCAAAATTAAAAATAATTTTAAGCGCCAACTTTAGATATATAAGCGATTTATAATCCATTATAATGATAGCATTTTTGGTGACATTTTAATAGATATAATCAATTATAATTTTTCCGAAAATCTCTTTTTATCTCTTCTAATCTATTATAGTCTATTATAATAGATTGTAATCCCTTTTTCTAACAAAATAATATTTCACAGGAAAAACCCATAATAGTTAATTATAGTTTCGCTATTCTGCATGAAAACCCAGTAAAAATCAGTAAGACGTAAGAATCAGTAAGCCAGGGGCGGATTTAGGATTTTCGCGAGGGGGTATCCTATGCCCTATAAAGCTTGACAAGATTGAATCCAAGCTTTCCAAGGCATTGAAAAAACCCTGTTTTGGCCAAATTTGATGCGTCTCAGGCAAATTTTTGAAAAAAAAAACGGGCCAAAAAAGAAATTTTTAGGCACTTTTTGGAAAAATTTGACCAAAAAACAGCTTTTTTCGACGGGCACCCTCCTAAGCAAAAAATGGATATCTGAAAATATTGTGGAGACCTCAAAATAGTGGGGGGGACTCAAAATAGTGGGGGGGGGGGGATGGGGAGACCTTTTGGGTATGCAGGGGGTCGAACCGCTGTGGGGAGTGGGGCGTCAAACCCCCCCCCCCCCCCCCCCGACGCCCCTTCCTAAATCCGCTGGTGGCTATAAGTACAACATTAGAGTTTCTTTTAGTTCGGTAACCAACTGAAATTATAATCCAAAATAAACTTGAGAAAAAAATTTTTCATAAATAATCGATTATAATCGATTATAAGTACAAAACTACGGATTATATCAGTTCGGTAACCAACTGAAATTATAAAAAAAACTTGAGATAAAAAAAATGTCATAAAAAAATCGATTAAATCAATTATAATGCTTTTTATTGTTTCGAAAATGGTAATATTATAATCCCTTTTTAATCTATTATAATCAATTCTTTTTTGAAGTTTATGGAGACTGACAATAAAAATCATTTGTAATCTATTATTTTCTTTTTTACTGAGTACGGCTTGCCTCTGGGATCCCGAGAACTGCAAACACGAAACTGATTGCCTATCCTGTGCACAATTTGGTCTCCTAATGAAAAGTCTTATCTTTCAATTCTCTATAGAAAATTGGGAGCCACAAAACTGCCTGCAAGCCATTTGCTAAAGTGGAGACCTTCCATCTACGAGGAAAGTGCAGAAACAACCAACCTACAAGCTTTTCAGCTCTTTACAGAGAACAGTGATTGTGCGTCAGGTTAAAAATTACATGCAAGTTTTTTTTGGTTTTTTAAATAGGCTGGGTTGGTTTGCATCGAAACCAAGCAACGAATATAAAAAATGTGAGCTTCAAAGATCCGGCATTCAGGCTGAGAGAGCAATTCATGACGGACTGAGTGCAATAACTGATATATTTTAAAAGCTACTGTAGTAAGGCATCAACCCACTAAAGGGCTGTAATTTTTAGTTACAAAAATGTTCTTAATTTTTTTATATTACATAGATCATTTGCAAAAATAAAATTTAAAAAACTGAATTTGACACTACCGGTGTTTTTTTCTGACCATTGACGATAAGGGCACTTTGTATCTATCAAGGTAACCATCTTTTTTACGCAGAAAAACAACACCACAAGTACTAAGAAGCTGCTTCTCAAAATGTTCACGGTTGAGCAGCAGAACGAGGTTTCAATCAAAAATTGAAAGAGAGAGCCAAAAGTGGTATCAAATCAGATACAATAATAACGAATAAAAAAGTGTGAATTTTGTATAATCTCGTGTAATTTTGTATAATTAATTTTGTGTAATAATCTTTGTATAATTTTGTATAAGATTTTCCTGCTCTGTATTCAATTTTTTGTTCTTCCCTATATTTGAAGTTAGTGTTTATACTCATCAACGTCTTCCGTTCACTGTATATTGTGGTTTCTGAAGTACAATTTCTAAAACCAAACTACACGCACTCAATAAAAAGAGAAATTGATCTATTATATTACAATTAGAATTAAATTTTATGAAAATTATAACAAATTATAAGCGCCAAATTGAGATGTTTGAACGATTTTTAATCTATTATAATGAAAACATTTTTAGTGACCTTAAAATGAATTATAATCAATTATATTTCATTATTATTTTTCCCGAAAACCTCTTATAATCTCTTTTAGTCTATTATAATCAATTATAATCTCTTATTATTGATTATAACAGATATTAATCCTTTATTCTCGCGGTTGAAAGGTTCCCGCAGCAGGTAAAAAATAACTCTTCCAAGTAACTTATAAAAATGAAACAATGTCCTAATACTTTTGTGGTTAGAAAAAAGTTGACGTTTGCATCATGAAACTGATCGAGAAGAGTTGAAAAAATAAAAACGCTGTAAATGTGAATTGATTTGAAAACTGCTAAAACATTTTTCACATTTTTCACATAAACCAATGTCTACGAAAAGCATAAAATGTAAGCAATCCGGATGCAAGGTCGAAGTGAAAATGGGCAAAGAAAGGGATTAAGAATTAAGATGAAAATAATCTATTAAAATCAATTATAGTCAATTACAATTATTTTGAACAAAAAATGGATTAAATCAATTATAGTCGATCAAAATGTAAAATAATTGATTGTAATTTGATTTCAAAAATCAATTGATCGATTATTAATTGAGCAAATTCAATTTCTAATCGGTTAATAAAGCTTGAAATTGGATGCCGATAGGAAATTTTACTGCTCCTTTAAATGATAAATGGTCCCAGTTTTAACAACTTTGTGACTAAATTTTACCATTAAAACTAAGTTTTTTGAGTTCCTTGGTACATAAAAACAACCTCTCTCTAAAACTTTTTCTTTTACTTGAAACTGTAGATTCATTTTTGTTAGCGCCTTTAATGTATTATTTTCACTACAAATTCGGTCCATTTAACAATTATCTTTTCATCCTTAATCATATTGCAAGTTGCACTCAATCTGTAACTAATTTAACTTGGATCTAGTATGGCGAGGTATTGTAACAGCTAAATTCAGCCAGCGGTTTCTTTTGCCTGAAAATTTTTCCTCCTTGATGGCTGTACAGTGCTTAGCTTTGTGTTCTAAATCCAATTATCTGAGAATTTTTGCAGAATCTCTATCACTAGAAGATTATTTATCTTTATTTACCCTCGTACGGTGGTACGTTTTTTTTGCATCATCTTTAACCTGTATTGGTCTTTAAACTGGACAAAAGTCGGACATTTTATCAAATGGTTCTCAATCTTGTTTGCAGTTTTCTCATCTTTACTGAATTTTATTATGGTTTTAAAAGAACATAACTCGTTTGGAAGACCTTCAAAGTACAATCGACTCAAAACTTTTTTCTGAAGCCCTCCCCTGCTTCAAATTAAGCTGAACCCATAATTTTTTAGCTGGGTAAGAAAACAGGATGTCAAGATGTCAATGAAGTATTGCAATAGAAAGCGACAAAGTGGTTGTAAAAAGTACTTCTGTAGTTATTGCAAAGTAACCGCGTTTTATCGTCCGTTCTCAAAAACAAAGAAAGTGACTTCTCTCAATTGAGAAGCCAATTCTGTGAAGCAGATTTAAAAATTTTATTAAAAAAAGGGCGGGGGGAACGGGTTTTATGATTCGTTTTGTAAGATGCGTCATCAAATTATTTGATTATAATCAAATAATTTGATGACGCATCTTACAAAACGAATCATAAAACCCGTTCCCCTCACCCTTTTTTCAATAAAATTTTTTGATCTGCTTCAGAGAATTGGCTTCTCAATTGAGAGAAGTCACTTTCTAGTATGTGCTCACGTGTGCATCCTGACCACTCGCTGCTCCCCCACAGAGAGCCTCCTGTGTTGCTCCAACTTGACACATTGATTGAGTACAGGGTGCCCGCATTCAGACCTGCAGTTAAAGGGCGCTAATTGACACACAACCTATGTGACCAGGGAGCAGTCTAAGTTTTCTCAAGGGGTTGGGGCAGATTGTCAATTGGAAACGAAACGTCAAAAATAGCTTACTTAGGGAACAATTTTCGCTGCATAAAATTTTGGCATAACTGCGCCAAAAAACCGTTTCGGTGTATTGTTTGACTGAAATAATGCGCTGTTTTGGCCGTGGGTCGAGGTTGTGGTTTTATGATCAGACAGTCGCGACCAAATTTGGTATATGCAGACTGCCACGACCGAAACTGGATATTTTCAGACTGCCGCAACCAAATTGGTATTTCCAGACTTTGCGGATCGAGGCAGTGTGTCCGCGATCGACACTACCGAAGGACAGTTAACCGCGACTGGCGCGACCAAAGTAAAGCAATTAGTCGGGCATGGTCTAAAACGTAAACGCCGCGGTCGAAAATTGAGAAAACCGCAACTGGCGCAACTGAAGAAAAATTAAAAGCAATCAGGGAAAAACGACTGGAGAAAAACATTTCGAAAGGATTCGACGCAGTTGAAACAATCAATTGGCTGATGAATTTACTCAACCGATAAAAGTTAAACGGAATTAAATTGAACGATAAACAAAACTCGACTGTGTTTGGTAGAGGAGTGTGTATTCTTCAGTAGCGCCGATTGTTTTTTTTAACCGGGTCGAGGTGCTCGATATATTTTTCGTTTTTCTCGACCAACAATTGGTAAGTGTCAATTTTCCTGATCGAATTTCGATATGTTTTGAATTTTTCGACCCAACAACTTTCTCGACCGACATTTTGTTAATAGTTGCAATTTTTTCGTTGCACCGAAAAGGCTTATAGTTGATATTGGGACATGTGTAGGTCTTTTGATGTCGGTCCTGTATATGATCAGCAAATAAATTCATCTAGCTATCTGCACAATAAAAATACATATAAACCGTTTTTTTTACTATTCGCAATTGTTTGACAGTTTTGCTAGCAAATAACTCATTAATTATAAAATGAAACCAAAAAAGTTTTAGTTGTAACGTAACAATTGCTGTTTTTCACTATCTGTTTCTGATTATTTCATGATTTCGTGTTCTCCAAATTTTTGCGACGAATTTTTGAAGAACTGTCATTACAGCGCCCTGACGAACTTTTCGACTATGCCGCGACTAGTTTTTCGACCATGCCGCGACTAAATTTTCGACCGCCGCAACTAATTTTTTGACTATACTGCGAACATTTTTTCGACCACCGCAAGTAATTTTTCGAGCCTCGCGTCTAATTTTTTGACCACCGCGACTAATTTTTGGACCGCCGTGACTTAATTTTCGAACATGCGGCAACTAGTTTTTCGACCACCCTGACTACTTTTTTGACCACCGCGACTAATCTTTCGACCACCTTGACTATTTTTTGACCACCGTACTAGTTTTTCGACCGCCGTGAATCATTTTTTGACCGCTGCGACTTGTTTTTTGACCATATCGCGACTAAATTTTTGACGGACTTGATTAATTTTTTGACCGCCGCGACTATAGTTTCGACCTCCGCAACTAATTTTTCGACCGCCGCGACGATTGCAACCGAGATACGGTATTTCCAGAGTTTTTCCGCGACTTAAAACTCTGTCCAGACTATGGATTATGAACCCTGTTCAGACAAATTCGAAAAATTAGTTGCGGACCTCGACACGGGCAGCAATCAAAAAAGTCTATATTGGCTCGAAATACGCCTGTAGATAATTTTTCCAGACCTAAAGTTCTTATCATATTAGAAAAAAAAGTTTCTTTTACAATTCGATGAGCGGAACTCACTGAAAAATTGTCTATGAAACAGAGTTTAACTGATAAATTTTTATGACAAAATTTATTTTGAATGGCTGCAAAAGTTCGAAAAATCGGCAAAAAATCTATCTTCAGTTTTTGCTTTGATCAATACGGGTTGTAGTTGGACGGCAAAATGGGTTTCCTCAAAAAAAAATTACAGGTAAGATTGATCTCGAAAAAAATCATGTTAATTTGATTGTGCCTGTGAGTGTAAGGGTGTGTGTGAGTTGTAGGTGTGTGTGGGCGTGTAGGTGTGGTTGTTAGTGTTCGTGGGTGTGAGTGCATTTGTGCTCGTTTCTTTCTGACTGCATTAGAGTGTGTGTGGATGTTTACATGTGCATGCGTGTATGAGTATTTATGCTTGTGCTTGTCAGTGTATGTTTCTGTAATAAATATATGCATAGCAAGCTCGCACAAATGGATAAAATTTTGGTTTTTTAGTCTTACAAGTTTTGAAAAGGTGGTCATCGGTAGATTCCGAAAAAACCTATTAGACACTTTGGGTGTGGAGAAAAAATGGTTGCCGGCTCTACTTCAACCACATTTCCGCAATCAGAATACCTGAAAAGGCCTCCCCTTTGGTTATTTGGGTCGTTTTGGCCGACTGGGTCGTTTCGGTCAGCTGGGTCATTTCAGCCAAATTGGTCATTTCGCTCAAAGGGGTCGTTTCGGCCAACTGGGTCGTTTTGGCCAACTGAGTCGCTTCGGTCAATTGGGTCGTTTTAGGCCAATTGGTTGCTTTCGGCGAGCCGCACTGAACTTTAGGCCAACTGGGTTGTGTTTCGGAGTAGTCGTCCGGGAATAATCGCACGTATCCTATGTGGCGTCACTTTACTTCGTCACCTCTCTGTTTCAAATTTTATGGTTCGTTTTAGAGTCACGTACTTAGTGCTAGCAGTAGTCTGTTACACCTTACGTAGGTGTGTGCATTGTCTGATCATGACATGCAGCTTTCCAGAAGAGATTGAGAAATTTCACGATCGATCGTATATCGGTTTTTGGGAATAATCGTCCAAGATTAGTGAACGAGTATAGTGTCCGGAAAAACTGTCCCTGTGTTAAGCCCAGGTATACTCTCCGGGAATAATGTACGTGTTTGCGAACCAAAATATGATGCACTTTCGTATCCTATAAGACAAACTGCACTATTCCATAAAACATCTGTAATGTTTTTGAAGGCAAACTGACCTCAATTGGACAAGCCAGTAAATTAAAGGCCTTTCGTCTGTCTTAGAAAATATAATTTTAGCTTCTTGTTTTTCGCGCCATACGACGTCATTAGTTTAATCGCGAACATCCTCAGCCTCCAAAAGAGCTAAAAAGGGTGCGAGTTTTACGGCCGGTCGAGTTACTTTGCCGGAGCCTGTTGTGACTACGGCAGATCGTGGTATGTTGTGTTTTCCCTAATTGAGAATTTTAGTACGAGCCAAAGGGTACTGCCCTTGAGCTGCGTTTTTCGACAATCCAAATTAAATCGCCTATTTTTGAAATGAAGTCAGTATCAGAGTGCCACTTACTGCGTTTGTTCAGGGCTGATACATACTCTTGGCGACACCAAATTAGGTTGACGTAGCTTAGCGCTTTCGGTAGTCGCTACTAAGAAGAGAGAAAAGAAAAGCCATCTCACAGCCAGCCGGACTTGCTTATATTCATGTTATAGGGCGAGACGAAAATCAGTCATTGTTCTACGAGACGAAAATACGTTTCAAGAACTTTGAGAAGGAGTTTTTCATTCTTATTATTGCGTAGAAAAATCTTCTACCATACCGAACGAGACGTTCTCTTGATGTGATGCTGCCGGAGGGTCCAATTCACCTTCGATACTCTTTTTCGGCATCTCTACGGGTGCGTTTCTAGACTAAGTACGTTTCAAGAGATCTTTCTCGGCTCCCAAGAAGTTGGTGTCGTTATCGGCCAAATGACTGATGGAGTGCCGCGACGCGCTACGAATCTTTTCATTTTCATTACACCTGAAGCCATGTCCATGAATAAGACAATCTCAATATGTATAGACTATGTGGACATACATGAAGAAAGGAAGCACCGTTGCTTCCGAGAGTGTTTCCTGACTATGACGCAATAAGATCCAAAGTAATCATTACCTCAATTTGTGAAGGGAGGCTGGCGGTAACCAAGTCTTTCAACAGGAAGCTCTGCCATCAAGTGTTTATTCAAGTGATTTCAAATCACTTTACAATGAACATAGATTCAATTATGCAATTTCCAACTGAATTACAGGTATAGTCTAAGAACTGCTGATGATAATACAACTTACAAACAATTTTTCAAAAATAGGCTTTCCATCAAGGATTATTGGATGTTTTGTTTCAAATTCGGTTTAAACCAGACGGTGAATCTGCCCTGCTGATCAAATGAGGCACGACCAATAAACGGTGCATACTGAGCGATAGGGTTACACTTGTTGACGGTTTTGTTGCTGGACAGGAGTAAAAATTCCGCCTTAAAATATTTTTTGGGAAACCAACAAAATTCTTTGTTAGGCGGTTTCCAATTCAGCTGGATCAGTTTTTTACTTTGTTTTAGAGCGGTAGTGTCCGTGTTTCGAACTCAGTCTGAGCATAAAGGCAACCACTCGCTAGTTTACGAAAAGAGCTGAACTCTTTCCATGCAAGGAAAATGGGTTGTTTTTCTGGTTAACATGAATTCAAAGAAAACGTACTGCACTATTCCAAAACACATCTGTAACGTTTTTGATGGCAAACTGACCTCAATTGGACAAGCCACTAATTTCAAGTCTTTTTGCCTGTTTTAGAAAATCTAATTTTAGCTTCATAACTTTCGCGTCATATAAAGTCATTAATTTAAGCGCGAACAGCTCTTAATAATTTCTTTTAAAATGCCTCCATAGGTGAAAAAGGGTTCTTTTTTTCAAGCACGCATCCATTCGCAAATTGATGCTAGTGGGTATGTGTTTGAGTCTGTGTGTATGTGTGTGTGTGTGTGTGTGTGTGTGTGTGTGTGTGTGTGTGTGTGTGTGTGTGTGCATAAGTAGACACATACATACATACATTCATACATACATACATGAATAAATTACGTGTGCATGTATGTGTGCGTATTTGTTTATGTATGTGTACTTATGCCTTATTATATGTGTATATGTGTGAACGTGTGCGTTTTTGTGGGTGTGTCTGCATGTTATATAATTTCATCCTGATGTTTATGAATGTCTGTTACGTTTATGAATGTCTGTTTATGAATGTCTTATTATGTGTGTATGAACGTGTATGTGTTATATTGCGTGTGTATGTGTGTGACACATCAACCTGAGTATCGAAGAGTAGACCCCGAACACGAGTCCACCCCGGCCGACGCAGTAGCCACAGCTGTCTCATCCACACCTGGGTCTGTGGTTGAATTGATGCTGTACCCATCTGGCACTGGATGCGAACAATTTTCATCCGGGTGTTTGAACAACAGCTCAATCGTGTTGTCTGTTTTGACTTCACTCTCAATGTTTGCATCATTTACTTGCAGAACAAAAAATTGAGCAGTATCTAAAAAATAAATTTGAAAAGTTATTTGAGTAGAACAAGTTTGAAAAATTAGTTTGAGTCGTATGCGTTGCATACATTGAATTTTCACATTTTAAAAAATAGTTTATAAATATCCATAGATTCTTTAAAACCAAACCCTGGTCAATTAAACTTGTTCCATCCTAGAAACAATGGTAGGTCTATTTTGTTTTCATGCTACCCGGGGTTGACTAGAAGTCGTCAAACTCTTAAATTTTTCTTATAAGAACCATACATTTTCCTACAAAATAGGGTTCTGAGAATGTTACCAGATAGGGATGTCAGAACGTTGTACTAATGTAACTTTTCCTACAAACTTTTTAAAAAATAGTTTTCATGATTTTATAAATGTTTTTATAAACCAGTTTACAAAATCTGCACCGTTGCAGAGTACTATAAAGGGAATTCAACAATTCTCTTTACCGATGTAACTTCTTACTTTTCAGAAAAAGTTTTGTAGCTAATTAAGAGAATTTTTGTTTATATATGCCTGAACACCACACACAACAGGTCCAGAGCTAGATGACAGGATTTATCTTCGTTGCTTTTTTGTATAACAAACATGGCAAAGACACACTCTATGGTTTTTCTGATTTTTTGATTTTGAGATTATTTTGCGTAAGGTTTTGAAATTTTGGGTTGCGGGTTAAATTTTACCCACTCGCCAATCAAAAAAAAATTTTCTGTTTGGTGCTATTGTACAACATCTTTTTTACTCACCCATGCCATTTATTTTCAACCATATGTCAAAATTTTCTAAAAAGTGAAAAAAAAACTTACAGGCTTACGCCAAAGTTTTTGGCCGAACTTGACTTATAGTTCGACTTTGCTTGACCTAGTTCATTAAGAGGCCATGCACTGTATAGGCGCACACTTTTAAGTCTGTATGTTCCTGAATTCCAGAGACAAGCCTTTAAACATCTTAAAATTTTGTTGGAACGGTCAAAGAGAATGAAATAACAAAAGAAGATTACAGGCAGTGTTCTTTTCGCCGATTCCGCTTAGAATTTAGAATTCATAAATACACCGTTTGGCCTCGTAATGTTCGGCTCTAACGGCCAACATAGGTATGTTCCGATTTCCCAACTGAATTTGGGTATGTTTGGACAACAAAATAGTATCTGTAAATCAATTATAAAAGATGCGAATAAGGTATTTGTTTTCTTGGTGATATTTGAAAGTATAATAGTCACTGGACTAGCAAAAAAAATCAAATTTGAAATTTTGGTTCAAAAATTTTGGTTTCCATTTTTTGTTCGACTCAAAATCTAGGATAGGGCGACCATTTGTATCAGGCGACAATTCTTAACAGACGACAATTCTTAACAGGCGGCAATTGGTAACAAGTGACATTTCGTAACAAGGCCTTGGCAAGTAGCATACACTTGCTCCGCTTCGCTCCGCTGCGCTTACATCCGGCACGAGGGAAATGGTTCGCATAAATTAGTAGTGTTTGCCGCTTAATTTATTCTTTCGAACTGTCGCCTGTTACGAATTGTCGCCTGCTACGAATTGTCGCTTCGCATAAATCTAGTCCTGCCAGTCAGTAGCCGGTTTAGGGGGGGGGCGGATGCCCTCTCCTCCATTTTTGGCAGAGTGACCTTAAAATTTAAATGTGCCTTTGGTGCCAATCTATACTAATTTTGAGGGGGGGAGCGCGCACCAAAAAACCGCGATTTTTTGGTCGAAAATTTCCAAAAAGTACCTAAAAACCCCCTTTTTTGGCCTTAATTCAAAAATTTGCCTGCGGCGCACAAAATTTGGTCCACAAGTTACTGTCTTATAGTGGTTTGGGAGAGCTCAGAAAATCTATTTGGTCCACACTTTTAAAAGACACGTTATTTACTTATAAAACACCCACCCCTCCTCCCTCACCCCAGAAGTACTTACTCAGCGGAAGGCTCAAAGCAGTTGCCGCAAAGATGGCAAGTCGTAGATACTGTGCTCGATTGGGAGACATTTTTCTACACTGCTCTACTGTCACGTGACTATAGCTGTTTTTTTTTCAACCAATGATTTTTTTAATAGTTTTCAGTAGAAATATTAAAAAATTAAATTGTAAATCAATGAAAGCTATTGCTGGGTCATTAAAATTAGCAGGATTGTTTAACGTCTGATTCGTCCAAAATTGGAGAGTTATCGGACCAGTTTTGTATTAAGAAGAGCGAATAAATGTTAAGTGATGAATTGTTAATAAATCAACATCCATTAGATTATGAACATAAAAGCAGCTTGAACAATTATATATCTGCAATAAAAAACAGTTTTTTAATCTGAAAAAAAATACTGCTGCTGTGATACGCGTTAAGTTGTACAAAATCATACAAATTTGAGCACCCGAAGTTGTTTTTCACCTTCTGACAGCTTTTCAATCCAAATTTATCCGACTCCAAGCTTCTTTGGTAAACAATAGTTTTAATTTAGTCACGCCTCTGAATACGAGATGATTGGCTGTCACTATCTCGACGATTTGAATTGGTCCGACTCAAACTTGGCTCGCGCTAGTTTTTTCAATTCAAAAGAACTCAGCAAAATTTGCTAGTAGTTTGCATGAAGTTTAGTAACTGTCATATCACAGAACGGTACATGGTAGCAACAACTAATATTTTCAATTCTACGCCCTCTGAAGTTTCATGGATAATAATTGATTATATTGTTTTTATATTCAGAAATTACTTCTAAACCCCGCAATCGATTATAATTAGGGGCGGGGCGTAGTTGAGAGACGATTGGGGGGGGGGGGGGTCGTAGTCGAGTATGGTGGGGCTCGTAGTAGGGTGTACGTGAGTGAGTAGTGATTGGTGAACATGGGGATGAAACTGTTCGTCCCGGTTCGAGTGTTGCTGAAAAAAATCATGCATAAATAATCAAAAATTTAATGCACAAAAAGTAATCGATCAAAATGAAAACAAAAATGAACTAAAATTGAGTGTAATGGGTTGTCATTGATTTTTCTTTGCCGTTTTATTGACAGAAATTGGTCATAGTTGATCAAAAATCCATTATGTGAACTAAATTTGCCACATTAATCGAATATCTAGTCATAATTTTATTCAACAAAACTCCATTGTAATCAATTTTTATTAATTCGTTGATAGTTTATCAAAGATTAGTATAACCTCTTTTTCATATTTTGTTGCGTTCATTGCTTTTTAGGTTTCTTCTAGTCTTTACTTCTAGATTATGTATCCCTTAAGGCAAAGGAAACCTGGCAAAGTTGCACGAATACATGCAAATTCAATTTGGTAAAAGACGCATCAGTTTTACGAAACTTTTCAAAATAGATTAGAAAATATCTCTAGTTTGAAAAAATAATCCTGGAAGCAATCAAACGTTTTTCACCGCAAACTAATCATTTTTAATCATTTTTTTTATCCACGAGGGATAGGACCAACATACGAGCTGTACAGCTCATCACGGCGAACCGCTGTTGTGCCCCTGCTTAAGAACTACATGCAATTTTTTTGGTTATTTTTCTGGGCTGGGTAATGTTGCCTCACCCTCAAGCAACGAGCACGGATCATGGTGGGCCTCGAACATCCGACCTTTCGATTGAGAGGCGGAGACGTAACCACTTCACCACTGCTCCCCAAACTAACCCCAATATAAAGATTATTGGCAAAAGAAATGTTTGCGAATACAAAATGCGAGTTATGCAAAACCTTGCAAGAATCTTGCAAGATTCTGGTAAAATTTGCTTACCGAATTGTGAATGCGTAAATATTACAAGATTCTGGCTAGGTTTGAATTCCTAAGGAACAATCTTGCAAGGTTTGCGTTTCATGTACAGCTAAAAAGCTCGAACTATCTTCAGACTCTGAAAATTTCGAACTGTTTGTTTTATTAACGAGTACGAGCTGATGAGACTATTTAATTGTTTTCCAATATCATTTTTTTACCGCTAGCTTATGCGGCTCATACGCTGCGTTAAGCTAGACCATTAAAGATAACAAAAAAGAGCTTTCAACAACTAGTTCAAACGAAGACGAGGAGTCTGATTCATACACACTGCATAGATACTTACTCACTACTTCAAATATGATATACTATATCCATACCGGTATGGGTATGAAAATCCCCCTTTTGGATGCCCGGGAAAACGTTCAACAATTTTTTACGGTGGAGTTGGAATATTTTCAAGAGCTTTATATTTAAACCAGCGAGAACAGTTTCTTGTAATTGCTGTCAGAAATGAAAAGCACAACGCTTAAAAGCCATTTTAGGCAAGCGCAGATTTAAGCATTACGAGGCCAACTGAGGTATAAAAATACATGGTTTGCTCTTTCATAGAGAATATAAAACATGTTATATTTTAAAAAAAAGCTGTATTTTTGAAAACATTTTAAACTATTGCTGTGAAATTTTCTAAAACAATTACAAAAAAATTTCAAAACGTTTTCAAATATGCCGTATTTAAAATAAAACACACGTGCTCAGTATTTTTCCGTGCCAAATTTAAAAATGAAGTGCCATATTTGAAACACGACTAATACAATTTTTAAATAATGCCTTGGTACTAGAGCAATATTTAAATATTGCACTAGTGTTTCAAATATTGCACTAGTTTTAAAATTTGAATATGAATCAGTAGCGCAACATGATTCTTAGAACAATCAAAACAAATTAGAAAGACAAATCATGTGTTAGCATGAAAACTTTTTCAAATCTGTGTTTTGTTCGATTTTTCACATGTGTTTTATACCAGACAAGCAAAAGATCACATTGCATCTCGAATTTTGTGCACATATCGACACTGCGTGTCTCATTTTTTTCGAAAAATTTCTCGATGCAATATTTATGTAAAAAGCTGCATTGGGCGACATTGAAAACGCGTCGTCACGATTATCGCTAAATCGTTCCTCAAATTAGAAGGGTATGTTTTTGTTCTTTCTTTCACACATGTTCTTTCACGACAACGCATGAATAAAAAATGAAATATTTGAACGCATGAATGAAAAAAGAAATCATTTGCATAGTTTTGCGCACTTTTCTGGGCTCTTTCACAATTTCCGGGCTCTTTCACAATTTTCTGGCATCTTTCCCTCAGAAGGAGTAAAAGATACTTTTCAACAGTAAGATCATAGTTGAAGATGGCCTCGGGCAAAAGAGCAGCATCAGGCACTTCGTGCCCTCAGGCCGTGCTCTTTTCCCCCGGGAATTTTTCAGCTGTGTTCTAACTATTAGAAAATGGCTGAAAAATCTGAAAAATTTTACTGAATAACGCGTTTCAAACAAATTTTATCGCATTTCACCAACAGTCTTACATTTCAGTCTATACTATTTTTGAGTTTCCTTGCAAGCTTGAACGACAATTATACCTCAAGTTAACCAGGAAAACCCAGTTTTGATCCAATCAAAGAGGTATGTTTATTTTTTAACCTTCAGTTTTATTTCGTTTATTGAACTTAGAAAAGCATTGATTTTTCAGAATTTTGAAAGAATCAAAGTTCTAAATTTGGTTCCAAAAACTGAATTAGATCAAAAATAGGCCACTTTAATATTATTTTTACCCAAAAAGATTTCTCTGACAACTAATATCCAGACAAGTTGTCGAATTTGGTTGATATCTATCACACGAAGCACATGGTTTTCTTCCGATTCCATTTAAGTGATGTTTTGGCTCATTGAAAATTTCTGTTGCGCTTTCAATGTCGCCCAGTAAATAATGGAAAATTATTATTTGCTTTATTGGAACAATCAAACAACTGGAATATAAAGTAGAACTACGTGCTCGCCAAATTTTTTTCAAATGTGTGTATCATTGCGTGTTTACATGTGTTTGTTTGTTTCAAAATTTGCGTTTTAAAAATTGTTCACATCTCGACACATGGTGTCTAGATTTGTATACGTTTTTCGATGCGGTAAAGAAATGTTGTTTATCTACTACAAAGACTGTTGAAGCTGTTCTTAGTCCAGTATGAAGCACCTGTGAAACATTCGAGCAAACCACACACAATTGAAAACGTTTTCACAACAATCCCAGATGTTTTATAAGTTTTTTGTTGGAAAATGACTTCTCTAATGTGAGAACCACAAAGTGACAAGGTTTCTCAAAATAGAGTTTTTTTAATGCCAGCTATTTTTGAATCAAAAAGTACAATAGAGACAAAATCAAGTGCAAATTCATTTTTTACTTTCTAAAATGTCCATGATGGAAAACATTTCTTTGGATTTACATCAAAACTTTTTCATAGATTAAAAGCAAATGATCAAAATACCCTTAATGACACTATCAATATTCGGTCTCAAAGACTTACTTTTAATATCCGAGTCTGAAAATGCCAGATTTTTTTTATCTGCATTAAGTTTTCCAATCCACCTGAACAAGTAAGTAACAGCCGCGTTTAGTAAATTTTCACAATCTACACTGATTTTTTCAATTTTTTCACTGAAAATACTTCACGTCGTATTAAAATTATTTTTCAACCGCTCATTCGAGAAAGAATTTACTATAATGCAAAAATTAGAGCAGATGAGGGAATCTGCCATTATAAACTTTGGATTACGTCGGTAAGTCTTTGAGAGCAAATGTTGATAGTTTCATAGAAATTAGCTCTGACCAATTGCTCCCGGTCTATATGAATTTTGTGCTTTGTGCTGGTAATCAAAATAAGTTTGGTCAAAAATAATCAAAGAAAGCAACTTGGAGAAGGAAAACTGAGTTTTTGCTTAATTTGTCCGCAAGTGCAAACTAATAAGCGAACAATAACTAATAAGATTACCTTGCTACTTGCTATATTAGTGGACAAAATTAAGCGCAAATTAAGGTTTTTACATTATAAAAAGCCTGTTACCATAGTCAATTTTGAATTTAAAATTTTTTTTATAGTCCATGAGCAAATGAGCAGAGCTAAGGTCAATGAAACTATCAAAATTTGGTTTTAAAAATTTACCATGTCAAACGGGTCTCAAAAATCCAGATTTCCTAATCTGCACCAAACTTTGCAATCTTGATCAAATAAGCGGATTTAAAAATCTTCATGCTACGTGAAACATTCTCAGCGAGAAAATTGAAATAGTCAGGGTGGAAATTTTATCTAAATTTAGCTGTTACTTTTTTACCCGGATTAAAAAAATCAACGCAGATGAGGAAATCTGATTTTTTCAGACCCGTATTACATTGTTAACTCTTCAAGACCAAATATTCACAGTTTCAAAAAAGGTAGTTTTGATCATTTGCTTTTGATCTATTGAATAATTTTGCTGTAAATTTAA